ATGTATTAAACCATCAACCACAGTTCTTAAACGAAAATAAAACATGATCCATTTAACTCCTCCAGCAGTGGGATTTCGTCTTTCTGTATTTAGTTAGCGTAATCACTTTCATTGACAGGAGGCCAAGCAGGTGAAATGGCTGTGAAGTTACAAAGCTGGCTACATGGCAGCTTTCATTTGCTTGCCTTACTCTCGTCAACACTCAGCCATTTTGGTGGTGGGGATTTTTCACACTGTAGATAGTTCTGCTGCGGCAGTCAAGTGAAGTTTGACAGAATGATAAATTGCCCTGAATGACTGTCAAGTTCCTATTCCCACTCTGAGTGTTTTGTGTTTGCATTTTTCCTCCTCTCTCTATCCTGCCAACCAGCAAACTGCCAGCTAATAATAAAATTTGTGCATCCAGTGAAGTGTAGCCATAAGCTGTTTATCGGGCTGATAATTTGGCTCAGTATGTATGCATATAAAGTCAATGCATATTCTCCAATTAGAGAGATATGTAAAGTGAAGGAAATACTTGTAACACACGGATCATCTTTGTTGACAGTCTATGAAAAGAAGGAATACAGCCAATATATGTCTGTAGCTTGATGGGCTTAAAGAATATGTTGTTTTGTGTAACAGTTTACTTGGATATATTAAAAAAATCTGGTTGACCTTGACGTTTTCAGGAGTTTAGGGGTGATGCTGCACAATATGAGCACTTAAGACAGGAAAACCCTAGTCCCCTTATCAGCTGGTGAAATCTGGATATGCAAAGTGAACGTTTCATGCTCTCCTTCCTCTTATCAACCACTGTCGATGTGCCCTTGAGCCAGGATTCTACCCCTGACTGTTCCAGTCCTGCAGCTGAGTCACCAGTTGAAAACAACTAATGGGAAACAGCGTAGTTTGAGCGCATCAATGCAATAATTCTGACCCTGCAGCTTCTCAGCCAGGCTTTTGATGTCAATAAAAATGTTCTGAATTAACTTGTTTGAATAAAAGCTGAATTTAAACGAGGAACGCCATTAGACGGAGTGTGTTGGTATCACTCCCAGAACCCACTCTGTCGTTATTAATTCAACTGCTGACATGCCTACTTACTTTACTCCTAAAGCTTAAAATAGCTCTGGTGACATGACGGCCTTTGACGTTACTGCCCATATACGACTCTTTCCTCACCACTCTTTTCGTAGGTCACAGATGGAGAGGGAGGAAGGGGGGTGAAATAGCCTTTAACATAGTGTGTTCCAGTTTGCTTTGGTTGACTGGATGGCTGGATCGCTGAATGGCTGGGCAAAATTGCTTTGATAAGCTTTTTTCCGTTGAGATTTGAATCCAAGCGATAGAAGTGTGACCTTTGAAAAGGCTGACTAGAATCCGAGAGTAGATATTTGATTGTTTCCTGTGATGGCACTCAGCGGGGACACATTTTTCTCTCTCTTTACAAGCAGCCACTGTACATTTATCAACGACACACTGTATGTTTTCCTTTTGCCTTTTCATTTAAGTGCATATCTTCCCTAAAACACGCCCCGAGGAAACCGGCAGCAGCATCCTCTCCACTAACATCTCACTACAATATGTACATTGTACTGGAGCTTATTCAAAGCTGGATCCAACAGAACTTGTATGGCCTTAAAGTGACAACAGCAACTGCATACAGCAGTACAGTAGCTCAGTCAGTTCCTATGTGAACAGTGCAATGAATAATTCAAACCAGACCTTTTATCACTGCAACAAACCTTGAGTTGTTCCTGCCATGTCACACTGCATTTGGCAGCTCTTTAAGAGATGCTAAGCAAGTTTGTTGGCATTCTCTTCAGCAGGGATATCTCATTCAGTGCCGGGTTCCTTTTCTACCAGTTTTCTGTAAACCCGATACATAAGTACACTTTACACACCATCGGAGGTGAAGGATAAGGAGTTTGGCTCATTTCAGATTTTAAATTTCAGATATCAACCGCAGGAGTCGTGTCTAACACGGCCCCATTCAGCTATTGAGTTGAGAACTGCCTACTAAAGAGGTGCTCAATGGGCACATGCTTTATTGGAGTGTCTGTAACATGATGAATAGTGGACCTTTTTAACTCAAATGTGATATTGAGTTACTGCCACATTACACATATTTAATGGCAATTGGCAGCCATAGACGATTTCTTTCCAGGCGGTAACTTTTTTAAAACACTTTAACACTCATCCTTCTTCTGGAGGAGGTTCTTAAAAAGTCAAATAATAAACTTGGACAGAAAATATTCAAGGATTGCAACTAACTTTTCATTTCTGCTGTGTTATTCTGGCTGAAGTTAGTATGTCCTGTACACTTTCAAAGTACAACATTGAAGTCAGATTTTTGTTCTTGCCTGTTTTTCTACCTTGTAGCTATGAGATTTACCATTATGTGTTTTTGTTCCATTCATGTTGCATTTCATCAAATCTTGTCAAAGCCAATCATTCTGAACACATAAAGTAAATGTAAAATGGTTAAATACTCTTTTTTGTCTGGTCTTATATTTGCAGACTTACTGCAGTGTCTTTCATGTGTTAAGCATTCATGCATTGGCCAAGCTCGACAGATTGATTCAATTCCCCACACTCTGGTGGCCAAGTCAGTTAATTAAACATTTATCACAACTGAGCTGAGCTGTGGTATAGAGTCAACTCTTTGTTCAGTTGGTGAACACAGTATGCTCTCATTTAATGGTAAAAAGTAAAAAAAGTATTTTATGTTATTTTAACTTAAATCCTCTGAGATGGAGAGATTCATCTCCCACCACCTCTCATCAACTACGTCTTTATTTTCCACATCTTCAACTTCTTTGTGAAAGCTATCACGCAGTTTTCTCTCACAAATACTGGCCTGTGTTTTT